AGCTCGGGCCCGAGGGCCTCGAGGCTGCAGGCGCCACGCTGACGCGGGACAGCGAGGCGGCCATGAGGCTCGGACGTGCCCCCTGGCAGCGAAGAGGACAGCTCGCACGAGCCCCGGATGCCGCCGCGACGGCGTCTCCCGCGCCTGACGGCACTTCCCGCCGCAGACGGAGCCTCGGGCACGTGACGGCCCCTCCGCACGTGATGACGTCGCAGACGTGCGACGGCGCCCCGGCATCGTGAACGCTCCGCCGCGCGTACCTCCACCTCGTGCCGGTGCCTTAAAGATGCCTGGAGAGCTGCGGCTCTGTCGCTGCCTCCGCACCTGTCGCTGCCTCCGCGCTGGCCAGTCCCATGAAAGCACCCCGAATTGCCTTCAGTTGGTGACTGTGTCTCAAAACCTGGCCAGCGTAGGCACATACAAATCCCAAGACTGGTGTTGGCATCTTGTCGCCCACCTTCTGACCACAAACTTGTTTACCTGGGCTTCGTGCATTGGAGGGTGTCACAATTTATATTGATTAGAAAATCTGAAAAGAGGTAGAAAGCACAAGAAGAGAACAGTAAGGCTATGCAATCAAGGAAGATGTCTTTGTGAAAGTGGCATCTGAGCTGGACCTAAGACTTGAACAAGGAGTCCTGGCGTAGTCCTGAGAAAGAAAAGGCATTTCTCCTCTTCCATGGACCACCAGTAGGATGTTGGAAACTGAAAGAGGTGGTGGTGGATGCCAGGCCTTGGGCTTTCAGGGTGTTTCTGTAGAAGGATGCAGTCTTTGGACCTGTTTGGTGTGTCCCAGATTAGTTGATAACAACCAAGATTACTGCTTCTTCTGTCTAGTGTGGGGGAATCCAGCTCTGGGGACCACATTCCTCACCGTAGCATCTAAAGAGGTCCAGGTGAAGCGTTCCACCAATAGGTGAGTAGAAGTGACATGTGCCACTTCCATGCCAAGGAAGTCAAGAGGAGGTTGCCTTCTTTACTTGTGTTAATGCAGAGGAATGGTTCTCAACGTGTGGTCCCCAGAGCAGCAGCAGGATAACCTGGGAACTTGTTAGAGATGTACATTCTCAGGACCCACCCCAAACCTGCAGGATTGAACACTCTGGGAGTGCGGTCAGCAATCTGTATTTTAATAAGCCCTCCAGGGAATTCTGAGATTCTTATTCTAAAGCATGAACCACAGGGCTGAGTGGAGCTTTAAGATGGAGAAACGCCACCTGCTGACCAAGAACACCTGTTTGGAATGTTATAGAAACAAGAAGTTAAATTTATTTTTTTAACTCGTGAATATTCAGTGGCTTCTAAAAGCAGCTGATTCAATACTTATTAACAGACTAGATCTGATGCAAGTTCCTAGTCTCTCAACCCCAGCCTTCCTTAGACAACACATATGACAAAACCTACACTTGAAGCCCAGGGATATCTGGGAGCTGAAACATTAACCTCTGGAAGGGCAGGTGACAGGAGATGGAGAGGAAGTTAATTAGCAGCAAGACACAGAGACTCTGGGACACTGTCCTACAATGAGGGTAAAGAACCAGTACCTTGAGGAGTGGGGTAAAGTGCAGTGGTAGAGTGTGCGCTTAGCATGCATGAGGTCATAAACATGTGCTTAGCATGCACCATTAAAATATTTTAATTAAATTTTAAAAGGAACCAGTACCTAATATAGTGAATCTCTCTTATACTCCTCTCTGTGGGAATACAGATCTTTGGTAACAAAGTGGAGGTGAGCAGCAAGTAGAAGCAATGGAAGAGGAAGAATATTGCTTATGTCCAAAATATATGTATTCTCAATTTGAGTCTATCTCCATCTTCTAATCTGAGTTACGAAGGCTATGAAATTAGGCTACAAAGCTCCCTGCAGACACGCTGATGACTATAACAGGAGTACAGGGAGCAAAACCCAGCTGAATAATACCATCCTTAGGACTCACACATGAGCAGGTGGGGACTCACCTCTCCCTCTTGGGCTTAATATAAACCATGCATAGTTTCTTAGTCAAATGGGAAAAAACTAGTTCTCTAGAGTATATTATACACAACCCACAACCTCCAGGAAAACAAAGATCAGAACACAAAACAACAAATTCCAAACATTTATTCCATGGATATCAGAAATATCAATACTCCATAATCACCTCACACAACTTAGGGTGGGCCTGGGTGTGGCCACTGGAGCCCTGGGGGTGGAGTTTCCAAGACTGGGTAGCACCTGGAAGGCTTGTGTGCCAGAAGCTGGCCACTGACAGATGGATCCACGCTGGTGAACACAGGACCTTGTCCCAGTGCCAGAGAACTGAGTCAGATGTGGACATGGTGATGCCACCACAGTGCCTTCAAAAAATCACCAAGATGCTGGGTTTGAGAAAGTGTCCAGTCTAGTGCTGTTTCACCATTGATGCTGTCTCTTCTTTGCTAGATGTTCCAATAGATGTTGAGGACCAATCATGCTCCACCTGGTAGGTCGACTGCCCATCTTGCAGGGATGGTTTCACTGCCTCTTCCTGGCAGGCAGAGCACAGCCAAGGTGTAGGTGTGGATGAGGCAGTGAAAGGGGCACCAGGCTGGAGAACTTCTCTGCTACCTCTCTTGCTGCAACTCTTTTGTCAGGTGGATCTCCACTGGGTCAGTGAATCCAACAAATTTAAGGAAAGGGCACTGAGTAGTTGTGGGAGATCAGAAGCAGGGCTACTGAGAGACTCAGAAACAGGAGTGCTGTGGGCCAGGTAACCATGGGGTCACCAGAATGCCCAAGGGCAGCACCAGACACAGAGGTGGGAAAAAGAAGCCTGCTGAGCCACAGGAGGACACCTTAATAACTTGATCAATAACCCAATCTTTGTAGGAAGTAACATCTGTATACACTTCAGGCAATCCTGTGGCACCACAGGCAATACCCCAGCTCACAATCCCCACCTGGACCCATAAGTCATTAAATTCACAGACCAGAGGACCCCCAGAATCTCCCTGCAGAAAAAAAAAAAAGATAGAACACAGGAATGGAAGATCAATGTCAGAACAGGCTGATTGAGAGCAAGTTACTAGTGACACAGACACCCAGGTCCTTCCCCAGGTACCCACCAGAACCAGATATCTGTCAATGAGATTGGAGAGCTAAAAATTTTAACATCATCTGAGAAATACCACTCCTTCTCAGGTGCTCCAGGATGCACAGGAGCAATTAAACCAACAACCCCGCTACATCAGGACTGCGGCTGATATACACACACTATCTTCGAGTGCCCCTTAGGCTTCCACTGCCCTGACTCCTTCCCCAGGACCCTCTCCAAACATCCCATCACCTGGAAACTAACCTCCAACCCCAACCACTCAGTCAGAAACTCAACAGTCCTCAGCTCTCCCTCACCCCTTGCCTCACCTGCAGTCAGTCACCAACACCTGACAACTCTGTCTCAAACACAACCCCTTCACCCACCCCTCCACCCCAGGTCCTGCCTGGGATCAACACCATCGCCTACATAGTGAAAACAACCTGCCCCCAGTCCTGCACGGACAGCACCTGCAAATACAGCACAGGATTCTGAGCTACACATTCTATACTCCAAACCTCTTCTCTGTCCATATTTGAAAACTCACTGCTCCAGATCTCTATCATGCTCCCTAAACAAGACAAGTTCCCTTCGATTCTGAGCTGCTGTATTTGCTGCTCCCTCAGCCAACAGTTCTGTTCTCCTCTTTCCAGAATTCAAATACTCCTGCTCTAAGACCAAGTCAAATGCTCTCAGCTCAGGATGGCAGCCTGGTGCAGAGGAGAGAGTGAGGGCCCAGGAATCCTACCCCTACTCCTAGGGGGACCTTGAATTAATGTCTCTGGAGGGAACGCATCTGTATAATAACACGTATAATGTTTATGTTGCATGCATATATGTGGATAACTGAATAATGTTATCACTGGCATGGTACGTGCCCCATAGGAGAAACTCAGTGATAGGAACTTCTATTATTGTCTTCCTCAACTTCACCTTCCCTGGCAGCCCTGCCCCAGAACGTTAGGGCTGCTCCCTTTGAAGGAACAAGCCAAGCCAGCTCAGGAGAGCCATGAGGGATTCTCCCCTGAATCTCCTTCGCTAAAGTCTGAAACAAGGAGGTGGCAAATAACCTAGGCTCCGCCCCTGGGAGATGAGAGGACTTTGAGGAGACCACATCAATGCAGAGCAGCAAGGGACCCACAAACTCACCTTGCACGGACTTTTCCTTTTTTCGTGATAGCCACAGATCATCCCTTTTCGAACTAGTGTGCGACGGACTCTTAATTTTGCCTGTATCCTCTGATTACATTCTTTGCGGTGAAGAAGAATTTGCTCAGTCTCCTGAAGAACATCTGGCAGTACTGATGCTACAGAGAGACAAGTCAGGAGTAAGACAGCCTGCATGAGTGGAACAGGACGGGAGCCCCCAGAGCACACAGTGCATCATGATCAGCGCAGTCACACCCTGATGCCTCCTGAGATGAAGGAAGGACAGTGGATATTGTCCCTATTAGCTCAGAAGGAAACAAGCCACATGTTGGCATGAGGAACCAAGGAGGTGAGAAGCAAAGCCAAGACAGGAGGAGGAACACTTCAGGACAGGAAGAGGCAAGGCCTTACCACCTGATACAAACCCAGGTGTCTGTCACTCTGAGTATCAATAGTAACAGTGACAGGGCCCTGCACGCAGCAGGTTCACAGACTCTAGGACAGCTAGTGACCAAAGCTGCCAAACCAGCCTCCCTCCACATAAGGGGCCTCACAGACACACCAACAGGGCTGCTCTGGCTACACCTACACCCCAGGCACAACAAGCTCCCTGCCCCCTGGCAGGTCATTCCAGAGAAGGACAGCTCTGAATGGGAGACCTGAAATCCACCCTGGAGAGAACCCACCCTACCTGGACCCAGGCCCCCAGGTCCTAACACAACTACAGAAACTGCTCATGCACTTCAGTCACAACCCACCAGCATCCCCTCTGCTTCCTCCCGCACCCGCCTGTTAGAGAATCAGCCTCGCTGACCCTCCCTTCAGTCTGCAACCCAATCCCTGGGCACCAGGCTGCCCCCCACCCCAGATCCTGTCTGCCAGTCTCACCGTTTTCAGTTGTTCGCCCCCATCCAGTCACCCAGCACCGGGTCCCAGTGTTTGCTTCAAAATCCTTTTCTGGGAGGCACACTGGCTGGATGGATGAGGAATAATTCACAGAGAAGGCCAGCAGAGCAAGGGCAATGTCATTACTCAAGGTTCTAACATCATAATGGCTATGGCAAACGATGTCCCGAACTGGAATGACCATTGCATTCTTGGGATTCGAACGTAAAAATATGACTCCCAGCTTCACCGTATATTCCTCATAGCTGCAGGAAGAGGACAAGACCCTCACGGAGATGCTGGAGGGTCTACACTCCCCTCCACCCCTTCCATGTTCCTCCCAGCCTCATCCCATCTCCTGCACCAGCCATAAGCCATTTCTCCCTCCAAACCCCATCCTCTCCACAGACACTTAACCACTTGGGTTAGTAATTCTTCAAGTGAGGTCCCAGGATCACCAGCAGCAGCACCTGGGATCTTGCCAAAAATGCAGACTTTCAGGTCTCATTCCTACTGAACACAAACTAGGGGCTGTGACCTTTTTTTCAGATAAAGAGGAGGAATGGGACAGGGATGGCTCCATTGCAGACAACCTGACCAGGAACCCAGAGCCAGAGCCTGAAGCACTCACCCGAATATGCAGTGGGCAGCAGTCAGCACCCACTGTGGGCCAATGAGGGAGCCTCCGCATATGTGTTGATCATTGATCTGCAGGCTCACCTGCCAGGGCCACTTTGTCTCTCTGGCGGGCATTCCACCAACTATCCTCGAAGTCCAATGGCCACATGCTGCTTGGCTCAGTAAAAGGAGGACGGAAGGTGAAGCTGTTGCCTCCCTTCTCCACTCATCGCCACCACCTCCGCCTCCACGACCACCACCCCGCACTCCCAGGGCAGAGCCACGCTTCCTCTCAAAGCCTCCAGAACCCTCCGACCCTTCGACCCCTCCAGGCCAGGCCGCATGCCCCACTGGATCCCAGGCGGGCCTGTACAGCCCTATGCAGAGGTCTTACCTTGAGGGGGCCCCCCTCCATTTACAGGTTTCTGGCTGGATTCCAAAGCCTCTCCCGCTGTGGGTGTGGGCAGCACAGGAGATAGAGTGGGTACTGGAATCTTCGGGGATTTCGGGTGTCCTGGAGCTGAGGGGGCCTCCGGGACTGCCCGGCTCATTGCAGAATCCTCCTTGAGTCGGCCAGCCTCACCTGGGGAAGATGAGACACCAGTGAGAAAGGAGCTGGCCGGAGCCTCCCCCCCCCCCACTCACTGGCCTCTTGCCAAGGAAATTTCCCCATCCTCAACTCCTACCGCCAGCCCCCAAGCGAGCAGCCCAGCCCAGCCTCCTCTGACTCCTGCTCTTCTGGACCTCACTGAGCCGGGGCTGAAGGAGCAGGAGCCAGAGCAGGAGGCCCAGGGAGACGCCGCTACTGCGGGGAACACCTGGGGACGCCATGGGACCCTCTGGCCGCTTCCGCTCCCTGTGGCGCCCCCTGGCGGCCGCTCGGCGCCTGCCTCCTGTTGGCGGGAGCCCGGGGCCCAAGGCAGAACCGGAAAGCTCCTCCTCCAGGATCTTCACCTCCTGCAGATTCAACCAAAACCTATTCTTGGTTGTGCTCTTAAGACCCTTGAACATGAAATTAATTTCTCCACTTTGAAGTACAGATATTCCGGATTAGATACTTCAGCGCGATCTTTAAAAAATGAAAAAAATAAAAAAGAGAGAGAGAGTGAAGGAAAATGCAACATGCGCAATGCCCAATGAAAAAGAAAAAGAAAAACAGAAGTATGGGAAATAGAAAACATAGAATAAAACGGAAGTTTAGTGTTCGACTATAGCAGTGTCTATAATGAGCATAACTGGGGGAAACACACCAGAAAAAACAAGAACTTTGAGATTGGAGGGAAAGTGAGCTCCAGAAGTAGACTCTCTGAGAAGACAAATTTACAAGAAAGAGCTACAGATACACATGTCGGATAAAAGGGACAGAAAGCAAAAAGCTAGGCCGATCTGGAGCAAACCAAAACTGCGATAGCAATTTGGTTATCAGATCATAACATTTAAGGCAAAGATTGTATCTAGGACAGAGGGAGTCCCATACAGTAAGAACAGGACACCAGTGAGAAGATGCATGACAAGCCTTTAACAGGTAGAGCAAAGGTGACCAACTTACGGGACACTGACGCTTTGATACACTTCTCTGGGGAAGCTGATCGCTTACATAGCCAAAAGTAAGCATTAATATAGAATATTCGACTCTCAAAATTCATCATCTTGACTTAGTAGCCATATGATCAGTTTTACAACTATCAACAGAGAACACTCATTCTGAATAAACACATTGGACGTATTCAGAATCAAGGCCACAACGGAAGACTAGTTATCTCAAGGAATCCGTGTGATACACATTCTCTTCATGAGCCACGCATCATCAATATGAAAATCAAGTTTTAAAAATCTCATATTTCTGAAACAAACTCAAAACCATACCCAATGGCCCTCCTTTAAAAAGGAAATCAGGAAGGAAACATGACTCTATAGAGAGATCATTGCCAACAAAAGCACTACCTGTGCAACCCTACGTGAAAGTAATTGATAGCTTTCACTATATCAGAAAATAAAGAAAACTGATAACAAATGAGCTAAAAATTCAGATAAATGGGGACAAGATCAATGAAATGATCTCAAAGAAAGGGTTTGGAAGAAGGGAGGAAGTCATGGAAAACAGAAGCAGAAATCAATCAATCAACAAAAGTCAGTGAGAGGACTGACACAGTCAGGACTCTGAGCTTTGAAAAGCTTAGTAAGAGACAACATTCTAGTAAGACTGAATGAAACACTACAAGCGAAAAACCAAATCACAGAATAAAAAGGAAAAGCAACGTAGACATATGACTGACTTTTTTTAATTATTAGAGAACATTATTAAATGAATATGCTGCCTTCTCCTAAAGCTAAGATACATTAATAGGCATTATCCTTCCCACCATTTCAAACCAAAAATGACAAAAATATGAAACAACAGTTTTCAAGACACTGGACATCAGGCCACAAGGAGCAAGACTGCTGATGGATGGGGTGAGCCCTACTATTGCCTCTGCTTACTGCCTGCAGAGAGGTTCCAGGCCACAGTGCAGAGACGGAGCCTGGGCAGAACCCAGCAGGCTCCCAAGGGGAGCAGATGAAGCTGAGGCAGGGTACACGCCAAAGTACCTCTGCAGACAGAACACAGGACAGAGGGAGTTACGCACAGAGAGACAGCCTCAGAGATCAGGGGAGGCACCCCCTTCAGTGCTGACCTGAGCACTGGTCAGTGCATGAATGTGAAGAAGCTCCCTGAAGCCAGAAAAATAACCTCCTCAAAGGATTCGAGTAACAATGCCTGGTGCTCACCCGCGACCAGGAACAGTGCCTGTTCCCGTCAGCCAGACTGGAAACCTCCAGATGCCCAGAATACTCTGTAGCCTGTACAGGAAGGTCTTGCCTTAGCAACAGCGAGTAATCATCCCTAGGCTGAGTCTCAATCCAACCCTTCCAAAAAAATATAAAAAAAGATCAGAATATATCAGTTTCCTAGTAATTTAACTGCATCCCAAAATAAAGCCCAAGACTATTTCTAGGAAAATATCAAGCACCAGGTAAAGGTCACAATGCCTGGTACCTAATCAAACAATACTCACCATTCAAGGAGCATGACAATACAACCCATAAGAGGAACACTCAATCAATCAACATCAACCCAGAACCGAGAGAAAGATCAGCAGCCAGTCCAGGTGACCATGGGACACTAGGTGTGCTGACTGGGACAAAGACGCTGTACACACACACACACACACACACAGAGCCAGGCCCTCCCTACACCCTCCCCCCCTTGTGGAAACTCAGCTCTTTGGGCTCAAGGGGTCTTGACTTCAGTCCCACGGGGTCTCCACCAGGCATGCCTGTCACGGGGCACAGAGAGGTACAGGACGGTGAGGGGGCCACGCCCCAGGCTCTGCCCTCTTGCTCCTGGTCTCCTGATTACAGAGGCTGCCAAACTCAACTCCATCAGCCCCACTACAGAGACGCTGATGCCTAAACAGAGCACAGGCCGCAGGACCCACCCCCTAACACACACATCAGACTTCCGTCCTGGGACACAGGCTTCCCATCTTTAAACTTCTAGAGCTTCATGGATGCCAGAAAAGCTCCCTCAGCTAAAGGAGAAACTAGTTCTCTACAGTATGTTATGTGCAAACCCCAAACTTCAGGAGACCTGAGCTTCAGAACACACAAGAAACTCCAAGCATTTATTCAGTTGACATCCGAAATCTCCGCACTCCTTAATGCCTCAACACAACCAGTGGTGAGCCTGGGTGTGGCCACTGGACCCCTGGTTGGGGGTGGTTTTAAGACCGAGTTGCCCCTGGAAGGCTTGTGTGGCAGAAACTGGCCACTCACAGATGGATCCATGCTGGGGAACACAGGACCTTCTTCCAGCTCCAGAGAACTGAGTCAGATGTGGACATGGTGATGCCTCCTCAGTCTGATCAAAAAAATCATCGAGATGACTGGTTTGAGAAAGTGTCAGGTCTAACACTCTTTCACCGTTGATGCTGTCTCTTCTTTGCTAGATGTTCCCCTAGATGTTGAGGAGCCATCATGCTCCACCTGGCAGGTCACCTGGCCATCTAATTAGGATGGTGTCACTGCCTCCTTCCTGGCAGGCAGAGCACAGCCAAGCTGCAGGCGTGGACGAGGCAGGTTCTGGGAGCTCCAGGCCGGGACAATGTCGGGGCTCCAGACTTGCTGCCAGTCTCTGTCGTGTGTATCTCCACAGGGTCAGTGGATCCCAAACAGAATCAAGGAAGGGCATTGAGTAGTGTGGAGGTCAGAGGCAGGGCTAGTGTGAGACTCAGAACTAGGAGGGCCCTGGGCCAGGGTGATCATGGCGTCACCAGGATGCCCAGGGGCAGCACCAGACACAGAGGTGGGATAAAGACACCTGCTGCGCCACAGGAGGACACCTTAGTAACTTGATTAATGATCCAGTCCTTGTAGAACCTAACGTCTGTATAAACTGCAGGCACTTCTTTGATACCACAGCGAACAGCCCAGCTCACAATCCCCACCTGGACCCATGAGTCATTACACTGACAGACCAGGGGACCCCCAGAATCTCCCTGCAGAAAAAAAAAGAAACACAGGAATGGAAGGCAACCAACATCAGAACAGGCTGATTACAGCAAGGCACTTGGGAAACAGTCACCCAGGTCCTTCTCCAGGTACCCACCAAGCCCAGGTTTCTGTGAATGAGATTGGAGAGTTGAAAACTTTAACATCATCTGAGAAATACCACTCTTTCCAGGTGTTCCGAGATGCACAGGAGCAATTAAACCAGCAGGCCCTGGTACATCAGCATTGTGGCTAATATACTCACACTGTCATCCAGTGCCCCCTAGGCTTCCACTGCCCTGACCCCTTCCCCAGGATCCTCTCCAAACATCCCACCACCTGGAAACTAACCTCCAACCCCAACCACTCAGTCAGAAACTCAAGAGTCCTCAGCTCTCCCTCATCCCCTCCCTCACCTGCAGTCAGTCACCAACACCTGACGACTCCGCCTCAAACACAACCCCTTCACCAGCCCCTCTACCTCAGGTCCTGCCTGGGATCAACACCATTGCCTACATGTTGAAAACAAACTTCTGGCCTCCAGTCCTGCATGGACAGCACCTGGAAACACAGCACAGCATTCCAGGCCACGCATATTCTGACTCCAATCCCCTTCTCTGGCATATCTGCCCCCTCATTGCTCCAGACCCTTAACATGTCCCTAAACATGACAAGTTCCCTCCAACCTCTGAGCTGCTGTACTTGCTGTTCCCCCTCCCAACTGTGTTATTCTCTCTCTCTGCAGAATCCAAATCCTCTAAGACTGAGCTTAAACACTCCCTGCTCAGAAAGGCAGCTTGGTGCAGAGGGGAGACTGTGGGCCCAGTTGTCCTAAATCCACTCACAGGAGGACCTGGAATTACTGTCTCTGGAGGGACCACATCGGTATGATAACATGTATGATGTGTATGTTGCATGGTTGTGACATGATTAACTGAGCTAATGTGGGTGAATTCTCACACTGGCACAGTAAGTGCCGCAAAGAAGGAACTCAGGGACAGGAACTTACATTATTATCATTATCATCCTCAATCCCACCCACCCTGGCAGCACCCCCAGGATGTGAGGGCTGCTCCCTTTTGGAGGTACAGGCCAGGTCAGCTCAGGGGAGTGATGAGAAGTCTCTCCTGATCTCTCCTAATTAAAGGATGAAATGAGGAGGTAGCGAATAACCCAAGCCCTGCCCCTGGGAAAGAGGGAATTTTGAGGGGAGACATCAATGCAGATGCAGCAAGGGACCCACAGACTCACCCTGCAGGGACCTCCCCTCTCTTTGTTATGGCCACAGATCATTCCTTTTCGCACTAGTTGGTCAGACTTATTCGCTGCTTCCTGGGCCATCTCATTACATTTCTCCAGTTGAAGAATGGTTTGCTCAATCTCCTGAAGATCAGGTGGCCTTGATGACGGTACTGAAACAGGCAATTCAAGAATAAGAGACCCTGCATGAGTGGAACAGGACGGGAGCCCCCAGAGAGCACAGTGCATCATGATCAGCGCAGTCACACCCTGATGCCTCCTGAGATGAAGGGA